TTGTAACTGTTTGTGAGAGAACGAGCAAACCTTAGGCACGTTTCATCATGTCTGAGACTTAAGTGACGTCATGGGAGAAATGTCGTCTGATCTTTTGGGATGTAAGCATGAGTCATACTGGTGACATGTCCTTTGTGAGATTATGATACAGACATGGTGTCACAGGTAGAGCAGGTTGATGAATTCGTGTTCTGACAAACAACTTGCCCCCCGGACTCTCCATCGCAAAGGTCAGATAAACAAACACTTGACCCCACACCGGGAGGTCAGCACTTGACACGGGTACTTACACAGGATTGCTCGTGTTGACCTCTCCGGTGTGAGCGCCATGTTGACAAGTTGTCAAAGACGAATCAAGGGCATCATGGTTGTTACTTTTTCTGCTCCGCCATTATGGTCTGCTCCTTTAGCTATTTACGATTTCAACAGACATCTTTGTCCATTTTCGGCATGTTGACCACAGTCAGAAGGCAACAAAATATTTTTTTTTTCAAAATGAGGCAAAAATTTATGCGCCCTGATGTCATCCATAAAAATTACTTTCTGTGGCCTGAGTTAAGGTTTCTTAATTGGAAGGAACATGTGTGTCATTTTCAAGAGTACAACAACCTGTCTAGACTGCTGGTAACATAAGAAGGTTAAGGCTGAGGCAGGGCTTGACGCCTTGACCTTGGAGCGGTGAACTTGGTGTGAGATCGCGCTTGCCTGCAGTACAGGTTTGGGGGGGGGGGGTGTCTACGATGACATGTCCGAATTTAAACTATATTCTGTCCTTCATATTTTCACGTCTTTCTGATTTAGATATTTTGAATGTGTAGTGTTCCAAACGTAAGTCATGAAAACTATACAGGGAATGGCATCCTTGAAAATACGCCACCTTAGGCCATGTTGATTTGATTATGTGGATGACATCCACTTGGAACCCCAAAACTGATGCGAGCGTGCGAATAAAAAAGTTGCTTTCATTATGAAATTTACGTGGTCATGAAGGTTGAACAAATGACACAGAGTATGGTATGGCGAATAATATACTCCTCAAATTCATTTCTTTACATTTTCGTCTTTTTTGTTTGATTCTGGCATTCTACGACACTGGTAGCGTTCTCATTTTTTTAAACTTACGGTATGTATTTGCTCATTTTTCTATTTTGTACGATTAAATACAGTATGAAAATTGAAACCTATTTTTTGGAAATGGTTGAAATTTCATGCGCGAACGGATGTCATCCAAATAATCAAATCAACATGAACTTAAATGAGACGTTCTCACTCCAATTTCTACCTCCATGCTCCAAGTGTAAGGCACAATGTACATAACAAGTTCTGCGCAGTTAGGCCATGTTGATTTGATTATATGGATGACATCCTCTGGGAACCCCAAAA